TGCACACACATGACACAAAAGAGACATTTCCCAAGGGCCTCTCAGGAGGTCTGGGCAATCCAGAGACTGAGCCAGTGAAGAAGGCTGAGCAGTGGCAGGCATGAGTGACAAACGGCATGCAGGGTGGGGCACGTAGGGATGAAAGTTTGTGGACCCGAAAGGCATCACGTGTCAGGAGTCACTTCACTGTGGTTACCGTTTATGACCACACCGGAAAGGGACTTGAGTTCACAGCCCAGCCTGTGAGTTGATAAACTGCCTCCTGGGTACAGTGTCCAGTATGTAGGTGATGGGTATGCTAGAAACCCAAACCTCATCATGATGCATATAATACCCACGTAACAAACAAGCACAGGTACCTCCTGAAACTCGAATACAACTAAAAATGGGTTCTCTTGGCTGCCCATGGTGGAGTCGCCCCTGCCCGCAAGGGGCTGCGCCCCACTGAGTACTTGCTACCCTTAGCCAAATGCCTCGGCCAGACGCAGATATCAACCAGCAGGGACTGGCACGAAGTGTGACAGCTGCAGGGCTGGGTGCTGCAGCTCTTGCCTTTGCAGGTCACTATGCGTCGCAGTCCTGGAAACCTCTAGAACAAGGATCACAGAAATGGCAGAGAAGCTTTTAACTGCTAGCCTTTTATCCTATTACAAAGGAAGATTTGAACAGAAAATAAGAGAAAAGCTAGTGTTATTTTATGTGTAAGCTCACCTGCTGGCAAGGCTAAGATTAGAGCAGCTCATAGGAGAACGGTGGTTTTGAATCACCCAGATAAAGGTGCATCTCCTCACTTAGCAACCAAAATAAATGATGCAAAAGACTTGCTATAAGTGACCACCAATCATTGATTGATGCTCAAGAACCATGCTGAGGGAAAAAAGGCAGGAGGACTTAAAAAAAAGATCCTGCAAATCAATCTAAAACACAATCTTCTTAATTTTCACACATGTATTGACCACAATTTTTTCTTCTCCCATTAAGCTACTATAACAATAAAAGATTCACAGTGGCCAGGCACAGTAGCTCACACCCTGTAATCCCAGCACTTTTGGAGGCTGAGGCAGGAGGACAGCTTGAACCCAGGAGTTGGAGGCCCACCTAAGCAACATAGCAAGACCCCTATCTACAAAAAATTAGCCAGGTGAGGTGGCATGCACCTGTAGTCCTGGCTACTCAGGAGGCTGAGGTGGGAGGATCATGTGAGCCTGGAAGGTTGAGGCTGCAGTGAGCCATGATCTCACCACTGCACTCCAGCCTGGGTGACAGAGCAAGACCCTGTCTCAAAAAAAAAAAAAAAAAAAGATAAATAGTGACAGCAATCAAAAAGGGCTCTGAGTGACTGCCTTGTGCACAGGTGGTCCCTGTACTCCTGGGGAGTCCAGCACAGAACCTCCTTGCCAAGTGCCCCTCTGGCCCGTGTCAGAGGAGGCATCTCTCCAAGATTTCCTGGCCTGTCTCCTCACCCACAATATGCCAGGTTACAAAGAAGCTTGGGCCAGGCACAGTGGCTCACACCTGTAATCCCAGCACTTTAGGAGGCTAAGGTAGGCGGATCACCTGAGGTCAGGAGTTCAAAATCAGTCTGGCCAAGATGGTGAAACCCCATCTCTGCTAAAAACACAAAAAATCAGCCAGGCATGGCGGCATGCACCTGTCATCCCAGCTACTCAGGAGGCTGAGGCAAGAGAATCACTTGAAACCAGGAGATGGAGGTTGCAGTGAGCCAAAATCATCTAGCCTGGGCAACAGAGCTAAACTCCGTCTCAAAAAAAGGCTGGGCGCGGTGGCTCACACCTGTAATCCCAGCACTTTGGGAGGCCGAGGCGGGTGGATCACGAGGTCAGGAGATCGAGACCATCCTGGTCAACATGGTGAAACCCCGTCTCTACTAAAAATACAAAAAATTAGCTGGGCACGGTGGTGTGTGCCTGTAATCCCAGCTACTCAGGAGGCTGAGGCAGGAGAATTGCCTGAACCCAGGAGGCGGAGGTTGCAGTGAGCCGAGATCGTGCCATTGCACTCCAGACTGGGTAACAAGAGCGAAACTCCGTCTCAAAAAAAAAAAAAAAAAAAGCAGCAGCAGCTTGGGGCCTGAACTTGTGTTTACTGGCAAGACTGCTGAGTCCCTTCTTGAGTAAGCTCAGTGGGCAGCCTCCCTGATCAAGGGTTCCAAACACCCTCGTGCTCCTGGCAGTCTCCACTGTGCCCCTGCTCTTTAACCACACCTCTCCATTAAATGCTAGTACAGGAGAAATAGTTCAAGATTTTACATAGAGGGTAAAACTAGAGACTTCAGGAGATCTGTGGCATGATAAAGCCCAGATCAGGAAATACTCTTCAAAGGAGTTACCACTTGCTGCAGGTCTGGTTAGACAAAGGCAGAGCTCAAATTAGATCCACCTTCCAGTTCCTGAACCTGGCAACATAACCAAACACCACTCAGAACCTGTGGCTTTTCAGTAATTGCAGGAGTGGCCCAGGGAGGGAAAGAACCAGTTCAGGATCATTGGTGTGGCCCACTTCGCTGTGGAGGGGCTTGCGGTGGGGGCATCCCTGAGGTCACTGCACCAGTCGGATGGCCCTGAGCACTTCCTTTCATCTGTCCCCTTCCATTGTGCTCTCCTCCTTACAGCGTGCTACCCCAAAGCAGCAGCAGCAGACGCAGCCTCCCACTGTCACCACCACAGCCACACAAAAAGGAAAAGGAAAATAGGGTTGCCAGTGATGAAGATGTAAAGGGACCCAGGGGAGGGAATCCAGGCGTGGAAGTTCACACATTGACTGTGGGAGGAGAAGTAGGAGAGGAGAAATTCTTTTCTTTCAGCGGAGGCAAGCTAAGCAGCACTGCAGAAACAAAAGTCAAGTCAAGGCCAAGGGCTGTGGGAACCAACACAGTTATTTCACATGGGACACCCGTTATGAACAAACACAAAACACAGTCAAAATTAAACAACCAGCGGGGCTTGGCGGCTCACGCCTGTAATCCCAGCCCTTTGGGAGGCCAAGGCAGGTGATCACTTGAGGTCAGGAGTTCGAGACCAGCTTGGCCAAGATGGTGAAATGCCCATCTCTACTAAAAATACAAAAAATTAGCCAAGCATGGTGGCATGTGCCTGTAGTCCCGCTACTCGGGAGACTGAGGCAGGAGAATCACTTGAACCTGGGAGGCAGAGGTTGCAATGAGCTGAGATCACACCACTGCACTCCAGCCTCGGTGACAAAGTGAGACTCCATCTCAAAACAAACAAACCCAACTATTTTAAAAGCTTAAACACAGGCAGATTCGATTCTAATAATTTTTCATACAGAAATTTGGGTATGTCATTGAACACCACGATTCTCTGGAAATGTTTAGTAAATTGAGGCTAAGGAAAGAGTGTTACGTAACAGGCAGATTATGAGTAAAGAAGATAGTTCATTCTAAGCATATAAACAGAGCTGCCCTTAAAGGAGTCATTGGATTGGCTGTAGGCTCTTTTCTCTTCCTTTAGATGGAGTCTAGTACCATTGCCCAAGATGGAATGCAATGGCATGATCTTGGCTCACTGAAACCTCTGCTTCCCAGGTTCAAGTCATTCTTCTGGCTCAGCCTCCCAAGTAGCTGGGACTACAGGCATGCGTCACCAAGCCCGACTGATTTTTGTAGTTTTAGTAGAGACAGGATTTCATCATGTTGACCACCAGACTGGTCTCGAACTCCTGACCTGAGGTGATCTGCCTGCCTCGGACTCCCAAAGTGCTGAGATTACAGGCATCAGCCACTGCGCCTGGCCGAGTTCTGATCCTTTAAAAGGGCCTTCCCCCATTGCATACCTATTACCCTTGTGAGCTATGGAGCCAAGTGCTTAAGAGTTAACCACTTTCATAATGGATTACACATTTTCATGAGATTGAGTCAGATGGGGAGCTTGCTAGAAATGCAGATTCCCAGCATCTTTCCCAGAAATTGATTCAATGGGTAAGGGGTGGGATCATGAGTCTTCGTTTTATGAACCTCCCCAGCTGAGCGGTGCAGATAGGCAGGCCACTGGTTCATTCTTCATGAAGTACAAGCTCTCAAACTCTCTTGGAGAGGCTGGGCATGGTAGCTCCTGCCTGTAATCCCAGTACTTTGGGAAGCTGAGGCAGCAGAGTCACTTGAAGCCAGGAGTTCAAGACCAGAGCAAGCAACACAGCAAGATCCCATCTCCACAAAAAATTTCTGAAATTAGCCAAGTGTTGTGGCATGCACCTGTAGTCCCAGCTGCTTAGGAGACTGAAGCAGGAGGATCACTTGAGCCCAGGAGTTTGAGACTGCAGTGAGCTAGGATCATGCCACTGCACTCCAGCCTAGGCGACAGGGTGACACCCTGTCTCAAAAACAAAAACAAAAACAAAAACTCCCTGGAAAATAAAAGTCACCAGGAGGACTTTGAAGATTCCTGGTTCTGTCCCCTATGAACTCTAATATACCAACAAGAATACCAGGTGATTCTAGGGAAGATTGGAAAACAGTTTTGTTTGTTTTTCGAGATGGAGTATCACTCTTGTCACCCAGGTTGGAGTGCAGTGGTGCAATCTCCGCTCACTGCAACTTCTGCCTCCAGGGTTCAAGCAATTCTCCTGCCTCCGCCACCCGAGTAGCTGGGATTACAGGTGCTTGCCATCACACCGGCTAATTTTTGTATTTTTAGTAGAGACAGAGTTTCACCATATTGGCCAGGCTGTTCTCAAACTCCTGACCTCGTGATCTGCCCACCTCAGACTCCCAAAGTTCTGGGATTACAGGCGTGAGCCACCACACCCAGTGGGAAAAGTTTTATAGAACTCCCTAGAGCACCAATTCTTGGGCCCCATCCCCAAAGATGATGTAGTTGGTCAAGGTGGGTCACAGCATATTTTTGGGCCAGCAATATGCTGAATTCCTAAACACTCAACAGAAATAAGATTACCATGGTTGGACGCTACCCTCTTGTGTCTGGTTCTGAGTGCTGCGTTCCAGCGTGCTGGAATGCTGCGCAGACAGTGGCAGTGAGACGCTGCCTGCCTGAGGAGGCCTCGGTTGGATGCAAAGGAGCTGCGGCATCCAGGTGGCAAGATGCCAACTGCCAAGCAGCTAGCTGACATTGGCTATAAGACCTTCTCTTCCTCCATGATGCTCCTCACTGTGTATGAGGGGTACCTCTGCAGTGTCAAAGTCTATCACTATTTCCAACGGCGCAGAGCCCAGCACCAGGCCGCGAAAGAACAGAAGACCTCAGGAAACCTGTAGAACTGAGGGGCTTTTTCTCCTAGCAGAGAGGCCCAAGGCATGCTGTGATGAGACCTCACCTGCCACCATTTCCAAGTCAAGAGGACTAGAGCCTTGGTTTTCAAACTCTGTTGGAAGAAGGTGCCCATGGTTTCTCTGGTTCTGCCAGTCTGTGCCAGTTTGAGTTTGTGGCGGCTATTGAATCATAATAGGAATGTGAGGGTGAGGTATACCTACAGACATTAAATATTCTGCCATGTCAAAAAAAAAAAAAAGATTACCATGGTTTTCACATTCATTGTTTACAACAGGTCCAAGGACTTGGAACTGAGAGCTGTTTCCACTTTAGCATAAAATGTGGAAAGTGTTCTGGATCCCCACAATAGCCTGTATGTTTTTTTGTTTTTTTTTTTAAGACAGACTCTTGATCTTCTGCCAGGCTGGAGTGCAGTGGTGCCATCTTGGCTCACTGCAACCTTCTCCTCCCAGGTTCAAGCGATCCTCCTGCCTCAGCCTCCCAAATAGCTGACACTACAGGTGCGCACCAATTTTAATAGAGATGGGACTTCTCCATCTTGATCAGGCTGGTCTTGAACTCCCAACCTCAGGTGACCCACCTGCCTTGGCCTCTCAAAGTGCTGGGATTACAGGTGTGAGTCACCACACCTGGCCCCTTCTTTTTTTAAAAATCCATGGGCTATATTCTACTACCCTAAGTGGATGGAAAGGATTCTTCTGTAATGAAATAAGTGAAGCAAAAGCTCTTTACTGAATACTTCAATCCTTAGATGGAGGACACATTTACGGCCAAGAGCAGCTTCTGCCCTGGTTTCTCCACAGGATCACCGCCCAATTTGCAGCAGCATGGCAGGCAGGCTAGTGAAGCTACTGTCAGTTGCACAGCAACCTCTGGGGAAAAGCTACCGAGCCATGTACTTGCAGAAAGGGTTAAGTGGGTACAAAAACAGGAGTCTAAGCGACATAGGTAAATTCCAAGTTGGCAAGAAAAGCTGAATATTATTTTCGGTTCTAGGCGTCATAGCACTTGTTTTAATATTGAAGAGGGGGCTAGGTGCAGTGGCTTACGCCTGTAATCCCAGCACTTTGGGAAGCCAAGACAGGCAAATCATCTGAGGTCGGGATTCAAGACCAGCCTGACCAACATAGTAAAACCCTGTCTCTACCAAAGATAAAAAATTAGCCAGGCGTGGTGGCACTATGTTTACTATGCCTGTATTTCAGTCACTCCAGAGGCTGAGGCAGGAAAATCACTTGAACCTGGGAGGCGGAGGTTACAGTGAGCCAAGATCCTGCCACTGCACTCCAGCCTGGGTATCAAGAGTGAAACTCCATCTCAAAAAAAAAACAAAAACAAAAAAACTGAACAGAGTGAATGAAAATAGACCCTAAGCAAGTTTTTAACTATTTCCTTCTAAATGAAGTACAATCAATCTAAGAAAAGCGCCTTCCCACCAGCAAGGGAAGCCAGAAGAGTGAGCTAGTACTCTGCCAAAAGTAACTTCCCTTGGCTTAAAAGATTAGTAAAGGCTTATGTGAATATTGTGATAAGATGGCAACACTTTTGCTTTCAGAAGGAAAAATAAAGAATAGCTACCAAATATAGGCGCCAGGCAGAAATTGTTAAATCTATAGATGAAGGGCTCATGCCTGTATGAGAGGTTGAGGCAAGCAGATCGCTCGAGCTCAGGAGTTTGAGACCAACCTGGGCAACATGGCAAAACCCCGTCTCTACAAAAAATACAAAAATTAGCCAAGTGTGGTGGTGTGTGCCTGTAGTCCCAGCTGTGAGCCAAGATCCCACCACTGCACTCCAGCCTAGGCCAGACTCTGTCTCAAAAACAAAACAAAACAAAACAAAAAAAACCTAGATCTTTGCCATGTGTTAGTTACTGCTAGGTCATTCTAGTTCCTTCTTGTGCCACACGTAGCAAACACCCTTATTGTTCAGATGAAACAGACAAGTGTGAATTCATTGAGAACATCAGATCATTCGGAAGTCAAATGTTTTCAGAAATGCTTCTGAATATTAAATATAAAATAGATGATAGAAACATAAAACCCAGTGAATCAAACTGCTCTCCCTCTTTTAATCAGTTTTATAGAATGTTTTACAGTACTAATCACATTAGGAGACAGGTGGGTTTCCTGTACGTATACAAGATTGTGCAAGCTCACTGAGACTTATGGAAAGGTTTTATCAGTTTCAAGAGGCAGTACAGCTTTTTAATCCAGATGAAGCACAAGAAGAATCCAGTAGACAGGAGAGTATTAATTTGACAGAGATGAATTCCCCTGGTGTGTGGTTCCCTACCCACACTATCTGCCATTATCCAAGTGGAGGAAACCTCCTGCCTCTTGAATTTAACCCTTGCTGAGCTCAGGCCTGTAGGACAAAGCAGCTCCAGGGTCACTCCATAGCTCAACCACAACTTAACACTGAAGCAAACTATATTTTCATTTCTCCAAGTATTCTCAAGAGAATAAAGCTATTCCTTGTCCTACTATTTTCTAAGTAACCTATATTCTAAAATATATTAAGTAATTATTAACCTGCCAAAGTTCTCAAGCATTTTTTGCATTTAAATATCAAACATATCATCACTGTTAGTCCACTTACTAAAAATCCTTTGGGCTTCAAGACTGTTTCAGATTTACTTCCCTCAAAATTAAAGCAATTATGTACAAAATAAACTTCTTAAATATTTTAAAAAAGGGAGAACGGATTTTTCTTTAAAGAAACAAAGCAGGAAGAGTCAGGAGAGAAAAATCTAGGAAGCACCAATTGAGGACATGAACCCCACTACACTTCTATCACTTCTATGCAATCCAATAGTAATTCTGAGTGTATGACTTTCCCTCCTCACACCCAATCACACAGGAAACCTATGACCTTACTTGGGCCAAACTGAAATTCCCATGGTAAGCAATAGGAAAAAGAGTGCCCAGGTTCAGGACATCAGTCAGCTACAGATTCTTATGGCAAGAACACAGTCCCTGTGCTAGGGCTGGGATTGTTCTCTTTCTTATGCACCTCAGGGACACATTTATAAAGCCTACTTTAAACCAAGGCTTCCAGGACACAGAAAAAGACAAACCACGCAGCACATCTATTTGCAATCCCTCAGAAAACCTGATTCTCCTACAACAGCGATTTACTATGTATATAAGAAGGCTTTCATAAGCAAGTTTTTATAAAGAAAACGCAGAAGAAAGCAACTACTGCAGCTGAGATTTTACCTAAAATGGAGAAAGCAAAATGTCGGACACATTTAAATATAATGGGGTGTGTGTGTGTGTATATATATAAACCTGTCAAACAGCTAGGATTATAGGCGTGAGCTACTGAGTCCAGCCACAAAATTGTATATATAATATTGTATATAATATATATACATATATATATTGTACATAATATATATCCCAACACCTTCTCTTCACCCCAATCCCACCACCTTCTCTTCCACAGAAAAGAGCCCTGATGCAATGTCCACATCTTCATATTTATTTCCACAGTGTTAACATGGAATAGACTTAGCAACCATTGTGGAGAAAAAAAAATCTCTCATTGGTTTATGAGTTAAATCCTGTAACAATGAATTTCAACCATTCAAGGTCTGCTGCTGCTTAACATTTACTGAATCAAATGCTAAAGTAAATGGACTGCCATTTAGGTCTCAAAAACCACACAGCTGGCCTTCGTGATATATTTATGATGAGATTTAACTTGTGACACTAAGCAAGTTTGACAGTTACAGCCCATGAAGTGCATGACTCTACAAGGATCTCTTGACCTAACATTCAAAAGGACATTTCATAGTACTAGTTTAATTCTGATCTCTCCCTAGAAGGCAGAAACCACATCCTACACTCCTATGCAATTTGTTATTTCGGTATTGTAAAGTAACTTAATGAGAAGGGGTGGAGGCATAAAGAAAATCTAGTTTCTGGCCAGGCACCGTGGCTCACACCTATAATCCCCACACTTTGGGAGGCTCAGGTGGGTGGATCACAAGGTCAGAAGACTGAGACCATCCTGGCCAACATGGTGAAACCCCATCTCTACTAAAAATACAAAAATTAGCTGCGCATGGTGGTGCACACCTGTAGTCCCAGCTACTCAGGAGACTGAGGCAGGGGAATTGCTTGAATCCAGGAGGTGGAGGTTACAGTGAGCTGAGATCGCACCACTGCACTCCGGTCTGTGCGACAGAGTGAGACTCAGTCTCGAAAAAAAAGAAAATCTAGTTTCTTTAGGCATCCCCAGACACGGAGATCTCAGAGGCAGACAGCAGACAACCTCCATATTCATCTGCCTAAGGCTGTTTGTCACAGTTTCCTTAAAAGATGCCTGGATGTGCTGCAGACAACAAGGGACTCAAGTATGGGGCTGAGTTTGTTGTAAAATCAGCTAAATGTGTTTAGGAAACTTACAAAGTGAAACCAGACAGTGCATGACTCTACAAGGCCCATTTACAAGACGTGTGCTTGAACCTTTGGTGTGCCTTCTTGGCCAATTTTTTAGGCACCAAAACCCATTCCTGATTAATTATTGATATACAATGCAAACCAAACTATGAAAACACAGACTTTTTTTCAGAAGAGAGAAATAAAGGCACAGAAACCTGCCAAAATAGATTTTTTTCCATAAGAATAGAATGGTTGATTAAAATAGTTTATAACTAGTAAAACTTGTATCACTAGAGCAGACAATACAAATTAGTTTTTTTTAAAAAATGACATTCACTGAATTCCTGGTCTGTGCATTCAATGTGAATAATCATCAAAAATATATTACAATTAAAGGTTGTAAGGAGCTCTGTTGGGATTTCTGCAGTATATTATTTCAGAGGAGAAGAACCACCATAAGTATTAGCTATCCACTGTTCCTTTTTACCGTGTATGGTAATCAGTCTATCCCCTACATGCAGGCTCACAAACTTCCATGGTGAGATGTCTATGTGACTTAGTGACTTTCACACTCATTAAAGGCAGCCCTGTGCGTCAAACTCCATACCTAGAAAGTTTGATAAACTGTATTACACTTTAATAAATATTTCTGTGTAATTCTTGTTTTTTGCTTTTAAGCTCAGCTTAAATTTTGTCAAGGAAACCATTTCACAAGACAATATGTCACGGCCTACTATCAGTAATAGTCCTTGTTTATTAGAATCTGCAGATGTCCATATTACATCAAATATAAATATATATTATATTTACATTTCCTTCTTAGCTTTTCAATTTAGGTGAGTGTATT